GGGTTTAGGGCTTAGAGGCCCCACACGAAGGTAGGTTTCGGGTTTGGGCTGCTTTGTACTTCTACTTTTTGGGCTTGTGAAGTTTTTGGGTTTGGGTTTCTTGGAGGGTGCTTTGGGGTTTGGGCTGTGGGGTAGAACAAGTAGAACCACCTTCGGAGCAAACTGAATAAACCCAAAAAGGATCCCAGCCCCAAGACCCGCTGGTTGAGTTCTCTGTGAGCCTAGGACATTCTTGACCTCAGGGATGTGGAGTGCTACCGCGTGCTGGTGGACAAGTTCGGCAATGAGTGTGGCATCGAGGTTTATGAGACTTGTCCAACCAGAAACCCTCAACTACACCCTAAACCCTAAACCCTAAACCCTAAACCCTAAACCCTAAACCCTAAACCCTAAACCCTAAACCCTAAACCCTAAACCCGCCTAAGGCGGAAGCCCCGAATGCTAGACCCTGGTGATGGGGCCCCAGAGCCCGTTCTCCTTTTCTTGGGTTCATAGTTTTGAGAATTTTCCCGAATGCTCCGCAGAAGGGTTCCTGTGTTAAAGTTGGGGGTCTGGGGTTCGGAAGGTGCCAAAATGTCGTTGCTTTGTGTTCGCACAGCATTCGCAAGCGTCCGCAAGCGTTCACAAGCGTTCGCGAGTGTCGCGGAGTGTCGTGCGCTCGTTCCTAAGGGGAACTCCACCAGATGGGGGTCGTAGCCGCTCTCCGAGTCCGTCCAGCTAAGGGGAAACTCCACAGGACGGGGGTCGTGGCGGCGCTGCGAATCCGTCTTCGTGTCTTGTCCTCGTGTTGTGTCATCGCGTCATGTCTTCGTTTTCGTGTTGTGTCCTCGTGTCGTGTCCTCGTGTCGTGTCTTCGTGTCATGTCTTCGTGTCGTATCGTGTCCTCGTGTCGTATCTTCGTGTCCTCTCTGCATGTCGCGTCTTCGTGTCCCAACCTTTTGTCATGTGATGTCTTTGTGTCGTGTTCTTGTGTCGTGTCGTGCCTTCGTCTTCGTGTCGTCTCCTCGTGTCGTGTCTTCACGTCGTATCTTTCTTGCTGATGTTGGTGACACGTGTCTGCATTCGGGTTCGTGGATCCTATCAGGTTTTATGAGATGGGTTTAGTTAGGGTTGAGTTGTTTGCTTGGGTTTTCTGTCAGTCCCGAACCCTGAACCCCCAAACCGTATATAAAGCTCTCTGCCTTTAGCCCTGAAGCCTTCAGGACGAATTCAGAGGCAACTTGCTGTGGGCGCTATCAGGCCCGGACAGTGACATCGCTTTGGTTTTCATTTTGAGAGGAGGGAAAGCTGTTTCTGGTTTGCGCCTTAGGCCTTGAAGCCCTCTCAAGCCCTCTCAGCCCTAAACGCGTGAGGGTTCAGCGTTTAAGAGTTGCGGCCTTCGCGTTCTCAGAATGTCCAGCACGCTAGAGAGGGTTTAGGGTTTAGGGTTTAGGGTTTAGGGTTCGAACAAGGGCTTAGGGAAGTTGTAGGGTTCCCTTTCATGAAAGGCCCCTGCCAAAGACCGAGGTGCCGTGGTGTTTTGCGGAGCGTCTTTCGTGGGCAAGGCCCCAGTGGTTTGCTCATCCATGGGCCAGGCTGCTTGGCTGTGGAAGTCGAGGGTTTAGGGTTTAGGGTTTAGGGTTGCATTTTTCGCAAAGAACTTTTAGTGATTTTCGAGACTAGGTCGCTCTTGAAACCATGGCGTGCAGAGGGTAAAGGTTTGGACTATTGTTGGACTGGGAAGCGGCTTGGAAAAAAGCCTGGGTAGTGAGGAGCCCCACAAAACATTCCCAAGTTGGTGGATGTAAGACAACCCTAAACCCTAAACCCTAAACCCTCCCTAAACCCTAAACCCTGAACCCGTAGAGGTCAAGCGTCTCACGAAGGATACAGTGAAAGTCCTGAGAGTCCATGACGTCAGAGAATGCTCAACGGAAGATTTAAGGGTTTAGGGTTTAGGGTTTGGGCTTTGGGGTTTAGGGTTTAGGATTTAGGGTTTAGGGTTTAGGGTTATCTTCATGCTTCCTTGTGGTGCTTCCGCCGGGGGCTTCATGTCACCCCCGTGGCGCGATGTGAAGAGCTTGGAGTCTCTTCGTGATGAAGCATGGAACTACTGGAACTACTCGGTGACCCATCCAGGTCAGAGCCCGAATCCCTCGCGTCCCGGTGGGAGGAAATGGGGATGTGCCTGCAATTGACGTCGGTCGGTCACCTGTTTCATGAACGTCACATCGCCGGCACATACGACAATGTTTCATCCTTCGCGAATCAAGTGCTGGCTCGCATCCTGGCGGAGCCTTCATCGGTCATGTTCAGGCCAGGTGCCATGTGCACATAGCCGACGAGAGAGCAAGTTCGCCGAGGGAGTGCTATGCGATTCATGAGCTCATGTAAGCAGCTGTCCCAAGTGTCTTTGCGGGTTTAGGTTTAGGGTTTAGGGTTTAGGGTTTAGGGCTGTGGCCCAAAAAGATGTTTCATGCACCAACTCGGGACATGTGATGGTAGCCTTGCCGCACACTCCTGGCCGAGCCGAGCTTCAAGCTTCCCCTCTTCGACCCTTCCTCCTGCCTTAGGGTTTAGGGTTTAGGGTTTAGGGTTTAGGATTTAGGATTTAGGGTTTAGGGTTTAGGGTAAACATTGTTTCCCATATGTGAAGGAGAGGCTTCCAACGCCTCCTTGGGCTCCGGCTGCTACCCTTCTGGCCTTGCATACTTGGAGGTTCATGGTACTTCTTAACCAATTCTAACTGTACTTATAAGTGTACTTATAACCATATTAGGGCACTCAAGGGGCTTACAAGTGGGTTATAAGTACACCTATATTTGGTTAATAAGTACCATGAACCTCCTAGTACACATGATACACCCACATCCAGGAGTTCGGGACCATCCCAAGCTCGTTTTGGGGAGGCGCAGGTATCATGTCAGGGTGCTCTCCCAACGAGTATCCCTCTGCAGAGGACCATGGTTGATCTTATGGTCACATGCGCGGTCTGACAACAGCCCTTCGTTATAGTGATCGGTAGGAAGGATCGCCAACTAGTGGTTCGAAGTCGTTGGCGCCTCGAAGGTCCCCGAAGTTCGTTGTACCCCCGTAGTACCGTGCCTCGTCTCATGTAGAGTTCAGTTCAGGTTTCAGGGTGGGTTTAGGGTTTAGGGTTTAGGCTTTAGGGTTTAGGCTTTAGGGTTTAGGTTTAGGGTTTAGGGTTTAGGGTTTCAGGGTTGAGGGCTTCGACGGTGCTGAGGCAGCGCGCCTGGATGTTTCCGTCGACTTTGAGGACGGGGGGAAAACAGTGTGAAACCCCATGGGATGTCGGGCCCGCGGGTGAAATGGGGTTCACCGCGATGGTCTAGTATAGGGCCTTCTGACAGTACTACTATTTTTTGCCGAAAGGGTAGCGACAGGCTTGCGTAGAGTTGTTTGTGCAGCTTGGTTTGAAGGCTTTTGGTGTTGTACGTTTGCTTTTTTCCTGGAGTTTCGGTGTGCGTAGTCTTCTTTTAGTCTTCTTCTCCTCGTTTTCTCCAGTGTCCGATGCCCACATCAAATTCATGTTTACATTTGTCGCTTTTCCTAAATGTTAATCTTCCCAGGGCGGGTCAGCGGATCCGCATTTCTGCCCTAAACCCTAAGCCCTAAGCCCTAAGCCCTAAACCCTAAACCCTAAACCCTAAACCCTAAACCCTAAAACCCTAACCCCTAAACTCTGGCTGGGCGCCTCCAGAGCGTCTCTCTCACGGTACCATGAATGTCGGCTCGGGACCCCCCAAGCGCGAGAACCAATTAGGCCCCGAGTTTTGCTTTGCTTCGTTTCACACTAGCTTCAAGATCTGCAAACTTTCGGATTTTCGGGCCTCCGAAAGGGTCCCCAACCAAGGCAGCACGAACTTCACCCAAGGCAACAGTGCCTTTTCTTTCCAGCAAGCGAGCATTGTCCAGCATTGTTCAAAAATGCTGAAACACCGCACCCAGGCAAAATTGGCAGAGAAATGCACAGCGACAGTGCATGCAGAGAAGCTCGAGGTCGTACAGTAAGGCAACATGGTCACGTGTGACCAATTGCCGAAGGTAAAGCAAGCCAAGACGAACTTGTCCAACCATGTCTGCCAAGCATCTCTTGTTCTCCTTTGAAAATGACTGCTTACTTTCGGTGCCGCCAAGACTGCAAGCTGCCAAAGAACCAAGGAGGTTCAGAGGTTATGGAAACGAAGAACGCCCCGAAAAAAGAGACACCGGACTGTGCCAAGACGCATGACAGATTCCTTATTCTACTCGTTTCGCATGGCTTCTCATTGATCCGGGAAGCTGCGATTGCGCCGAGAATTGCAGGGGGTTTTGTGGGCATGAGCATTGGAGAAAGGAAAAACTCATGGGTTCCTGATAGCCCCACGTACTCGTAGCTCTAAACCCTAAAGGCCCTAAAGCCCTGAACCCTAAACCCTAAACCCTAAACCCTAAACCCTAAACCCTAAACCCTAAACCCCAAACCCCAAACCCTAAAACCTAAACCCTAAACCCTAACCTCGAAGCTCGGAGATGGACCTTGTGATCCCAGGAGGCCAAGCCCCTTGTGACGACCACCCACGGAACGGTCGCCGCTGCTTTCTTGCAGAACTTCCTGTTCCTTGTGGAAGCTTGGCTTGCGAGGGGCTTGTGTATGAAGTAGGGTTCATGTTTGGTGTATATAAGGTTCCTTGTGGAGTCTTGGCTTGCAAGGGGCTTGTGTAACTTCCTGTTCCTTGTGGAATCTTGGCTTGCAAGGGCTTGTATAGCTTCCTGTTCCTTGTGGAGTCTTGGCTTGCAAGGGCTTGTATATGAAGTAGGGTTCATGTTTTTGTTTTTGGTGGGTGTATATAAGGTTCCTTGTGGAATCCTGGCTTGCAAGAGCTTGTATAACTTGCATATCGGGATGCTTGCCCCTTGAGAAACCAGATTTTTCGGCCGCTGGATTCTGAATTGAGTGTTCCACATGCTCACTTCCCAAAGCCCGAACCCCGAAGTCTCTTAGAAGCCCGAAAGAAGCC